TATTTTTAGTTAATTTTTATTTGCTTAAAAAAAGAGAAAACTTCACACATGGTTTGTATTTTCTACCTACTTGTTGGGTCCAAGATAGGTAAGTAACTTCATATATTATACCCACAATCAGAATGAGAAATGACACACATGAGGTCTGGGTTCTCGAGAGAAATATTATGAAATCTCAAGGTATTGATGAGTTTTTCAAGCTTGATCCAAATGGGATTTAGAGTCTGTGGCAGTTGAAATGTGTATTATTAAACTCCTTAAGCAAACCCGATTGAGTCCCACTGGAGGATTAAGACATTCTATGTATAGCAACGACGGAAGTCTCATGTCTTAGTCCTCTCTATTGAATTCCCCCTTGATTAGCTTCTGTAATATTTAACTTCATGCCATGCCATAATTATTTAATAAAAGGTAAATATAAATTATATTTCAGTGGGGATATGACCTTTTACCTTAATGTTATATTACTAAAGAAAGACATAGATAAATAGAGCCTATAGGTTGAAGCGTATTTTTAATTTACTCTATTTGCATCTTGCTGGCGTTTCCCTGTCCCTGTCAGCCAAAGGGTTGGCAGGATGGCGTACACCCTGCCTTCGCATGGTAGGCCAGGCTGTAAATTTACATGGATGATGGCCGTTAATGACCTGGCTGGCCCTTTGAGACGGTCTTGGTGCTTGTCTTGGGTACCTCATTAGCTAATTGAGGTTCTTGGCTGGCTCAGAAAAGCCAGAGAATGCCAGGGAGCTGGCGGCGGGGAGAGGAGGGACGGCTGGGATCCAAGGCGAAATGGATGCTATGGGATGTGACGACAGCCAGGCAGTTGGGAACCAGAGCAGATCGCTGAGCCTGACCTTGGACTGGTTTTTAACAGCACCCGACTGTTTTTGACGGTGGCCTGTACTTCAGATATGCACTTGATTAGATGAGATCATGAGTGCCCGCTTGCGCATGGGACCTTCGTCCCTGCGTGATGCACAGGACAGACAGCGCCGTGGCTTGCTCGACTCTCTCTTTGGCATGCACACGTGGCCCACCCTACCTGCCAGGTGCCTGCCTAAAACTGTGCATAAACAACAGACAGCTGTGCCGAATCTCCTCCTTCCCTTTAAAACATGCATTAGTCGCCCTGTGCAGCCAAGAGACTAAGTTCCTTCAAAGCCTGGGGCTGGGGAGAGGAGGGCAGGAGAGGCGAACCAGACAGAATGTTGATGGCTTTCAGTCTGATGGAGGAGGCCAGTCACCAGCTTCTCCAGCAGGGGATTGTATTAAAGAAACAGTGCTCTTTCTTCCCCTTCCCTGTGCTGAGGGGATCCCGGCTTGGGAGCGCTCCTCCGTGGGCAGCAGGAAGGAGGGGAAAGGAGAAATGGTGGTGGCTGTGGCGGGTGGCATGGTGCGGGCTGCTGGGAGAGGCCTGCGGGGTGGGTGGCGGCGCAGATGGAAAGGAGGGGGAGACGCTATGTAGAGAGGGGGGTGGCTGCACTGGTGAGCCAGGGGATTGCTCCCGTGTGTGTTCAGCCCATCGTGAGCATTCCCGGGCCTTCGGCTTCTCAGATGCCCGAGAAGAAGCTCTTCACTTGGGATGGCAAACGAAGCAATGTTTGCTGCTGAGAGTTTTGTCACCAGATCTGTTTGCCCTGTAACTTCTCGGCGACTTAGAAGTTAGGTGACTCCGGGAGCCACCCCCAGGGGCAGCCCTTTCCTGCAGCTGAGGAGGAGGCGCAGAGAGCCATGGAAGGGCTGTCTCTAGTTCGGAGGCAGGTTTAGGGATTACAGGAGCCAGGGTTCAGATCTTTCTTTCACCCCCCAGTTTAATGTGGGGATGAAGTTCAGCCCATAGGTTTTTCAACGAGAATTGTGATTGTGGATGACCTACTCTGGAGGCAGAAACAGAAGGGTCGTGGTTCAAGGCCAGTAGACTATCCACCACAGGGAAAACCACCAGTATATCCTGATTGGGGGGAGGGGATGACAATGCTCTTATTGCAGGTCATAGCCACTCAGCATCCTGTTATTAAGAAAAAGCTTCTTAAATGGATGACTTCGAATGCTAAGCAGAAGGAAACGTTACAGGATTCCACTTACAGCACACAGCTATTCCGTGTGTTTCTGAGCAAAATGGTGATGTAATAGCTTCCAGAATAAGTTGGAGGGAAATAAAATCAATGGGAATCTATTCATGCTGGATCCTAAGCTCCGCTGGCATGCTAGAAAATGTGTGTGCTGGTGTGTGTGCGCCGGGTTGTTCTGCAGGCTGTGTGGCGGCTGGACTCCAGACTCTTAGGAAAGAATAGAGTTAGACCTGTAAGGAGACTGGAAAGACAAGCACCATCGTAAAAATGGATAAAATGGGTTAAATAATTTGACAAATAATACGTGACAGCGAATGGAACATTAAAACACTACCTATGGAAGACAGATGGGACTAGTATGTCCCTTCTCAAAAAACAAAAAACAAAACAAACAAACAAAAAAAAACCCACTCCAATTCCCAAAGACCACCTTTGGAAAATCCAGGGCAGTTGTCTGGGATCAGCCATCCATACCCAACTCCCTAGAAAGTATACCTATTTTTCTTGGAACAAAAAAAGAAGCGAAAACTAGAAATATAGCTGTTTGGGAAATGATAACGGAAGGGGAGGTAAAAACAAATCTGATATTGGGGCTGGGAAGGTGGCTCAGTGGTAGACGCTTGCCTTGCATGCATGAGGCCCTGGGTTCAATTCCTCAGTACCACGGAAGCAAAAAGAAAAAAGCCAGAAGTGGTGCTGTGGCTCAAGTGGTAGAGCGCTAGCCTTGAGCTGAAGAGCTGAGGGACAGCACCCAGGCCCAGAGTGCAGGCCCCACGACTGGACCCAAAAAAACCCAAAAAACAAATCTGATATTGGATCTATGATAAAGCATTTAGAATTGTGAGGAAACGAACGGCTTTTCTAGACAAATGTGATCCTGAGAAAGAAGAACAAATGCAAGGTTCGGCTTGGCAGTCAGGTGAATGCTGCTATTCGCCTGGAATCTCCTGAGCATGAAGGCTTTGGGAGGGAGGGGCCGGTGGGTATGCAGGTGGCTGTCTAGCCAACAGTTGGATATTACAGGCCGAATCCCTAGCAAGCTATAAACTAGAAATAAAAATTTGTGGTGATCAGCACATACCTGGACATGGGAGTGGTGGGGGGGGGGGCTGGGTGAAGTTACCATGGCAACAATCTAGAAGGGCATCATATTTGCATAATGGGCTGAAGAGCAAGAGCCCCCAGAGCAGGCCCGGATGCCTTACCAGACAGGTTAGTGGGAAGCAGAGTGAGCTCAGGAGAGCCGGTGGAGAGAAATATTTCCAGAAGGAGCAGATGTGAGCTGCGTCCGATGCCAAGTTGGGATGAAGACGAAAAGGTTCCCTTTGGTTCAGTGAACTCAACAAAAACAATTTGACTGAGATTCTTTCAAACTTTTAAGCAGGAGGTGCTATCCATGTTGAATATCTTTTTCAGAACATAAGCTAACACGTCTCTACTTAATCTGGGTGCAGTGACTCAAGCTTACAATCTAACAAAAAGTGACTCAGCAGTGTGTGAAAGCCTTTGCCTGTAATGTTTGGTCCAGTCATTCTAATTCTTGGCATTTTCCAGTTGAAACAAAATTATACACAGACAAATTATTGCTCTGCTTTTTATCATAGGGAGAAATAAGGACTTGACAAAATACCCAGAATTAGGAAACCATGCAAATAAATAATGGAGTATGTTATGGAGGAAATTTGCAGGAGTTTTAATTATAAAGGAATATTTAATAGCCTGGTGAAAGTTCATGACATGCAGTATTGTTTAGAAGGTTTTCAAAAGTAAATGATGTAACAATGTCAGTAATTTTAAGTGCACGTGTGTTTAAATCTGGAAGGCTAGAAGAGGTAAATTGTGCTTGTCTCTGAAGTGATGGTGTCTACGGGTGACTTTACTTTTTTCCTATATATTAAAGTTTGGTTACAATTTCTTTGAAGAGGCCTTGTTTCAATATAGTAATAGCAACAGATGTTCATAAAATACATGTACAAAAAGAAAGACTTCAAAAAAGACCCCCACACTCTCCAGAGTTTATTATTCTCTAACAGGAGTGCACACAATATTATTTTATTCTTTGTATGATTTTTTTTAACCTTTGGTCAAGCATTAGTTTTAAAACCATGAAATCTAATCAACAAATTTTGAAGAAAAGGAAAAAGAAAGGGAGAAAAGGAGTGAAAAAAAAACCCAAAGAAACCAATGCTGAAAATTCTTGAGAAGAACAAAGATACTAAAGGATGTCATTTGTTCATTTACATACTCAGAATTGCTCACTTAAGCACCTACTGTATTCCTGGCAGTCTTCAGCCATGAAAACCCAGTGGGTGAGACAAAATGATTCTGCTTCAATGGATGTTTTGGTGTAGTACAAGAACGTGACATTTCTAAAATGTGTGTGCTGGGCTAGGGATATAGCACAGAGGTAGTGTGCTTGCCTTGCATGGATAAGGCCCTGGGTTCGATCCCACACAACACACACACACACATATTTGTTTAAAAGATGAGTGGATATAAAAATACAGTTAAGTGATTGATGTGTGTTTGAGAAATACTTTTTGAGGTAGAACACTTGCTTAGCATGCATATATCTTGCCTTCAATAAACTGCCTCCCCTCATCCAACAAAAAGTACAGGTAGATGCCTAAACCGCAAAGGGCTCAAGTGTAGGGCGCACAAGGGCAGGGTTTTATGAGCACAAGATCACAGAAGGTTATGTGTGCATGTGATGAGCATGATAAAGGAAAAAAATGTTATTTTGAAAGATTGATTCCAGACTTGCATGTGAATTAACCAGCGTCGGTATCAGGATCTCCTGTGTGCACCTTGTGCCTGTCAGTTCTGCGAGAGACAGTAGCAGAAGGCTTCTGTTACCTGCGCGAGGCGTTAACAGAAGGGTTACTCTCTGGCTTTGCTGTGTGACTCAGAGTGGATTTTCTCTTTCAGCACTCAATGAACCCACCATTGATTACGGCTTCCAGAGGCTGCAGAAAGTCATCCCCAGGCACCCTGGGGATCCTGAGAGATTAGCGAAGGTAAGATACTTGGAAACTCGACCTAGGAAAGCCTCTCGGTAGTATCCCAGCAAATGCAGACAAACCCAGCCTTTTACTCCCCCATTAAAATCAATTAGCCCTTGAAATTGGCTAAAGTGTAGGAACGAGATGAACATAAAATTTAGGCTATGAAATATATTATCTTTGGTCTCTCTGGAAGCATGAAACCTAAAAATTTTGGAGCCCATAAAACAGATAAGCTGAAAGAATAGTCAGATGATAAAACAATGCCAACTTTGTGGAAATAAACATTTTGCTTAATTGCTTGAAATGTGGGCTTCCTCTGCTTTGTATTTAAATACGATTTTATTTGCTTATATTACAGAAGCCCATCAATCTAGAAACAAGTATTCATTGAGGGCCTACTATGTACATACAGATTTAATGACAATAAAAATGTCTCCACAGAAAATGACTGTGGAAATGTATCACTTTTAAATGATCTTGCTTATGAAAACTTCATTGCAAATCTGGCCCATGATATTCGCTTTCTTTATTTAAAAAACATGTCAATTTATTAGTTGTCATTCAACTAATGAGAAACAATAAAAATTTTACGTTTGCATTTGACTTGCACTTTAAATGCACAAGTTATAAAATGCTATGTTCTCTATCATGTGCTGTGAGTGGAATTCAAGTACCAGTTATTTCTATATCACACCTTGGTTTTACTCCTGGAAAAATCCCCAGCTCCACCATTAAATTAGGTGATATCTGGAAAGTAGGCTAATAGCAATTTAAAAGGTTGTTAAAAAAACACAGGAGGTAGAAAAGACAAGATGAGAGAAGTGGGAGTTGAGATAACTAATTCTCTCTGGTTAACGTGAACAGGGGAAATATTACTGGAAGACTTCATCTTTATTAGAATAGAATTTTGCAGTACGTGTTGCCAATATAATTTCAGTACTCTGGACAGCTCCTTGGCAAACAGCTAACCTCAGGTCCATCAATCATGTCAAGAATATTTGGTTAATTAGAGTACCAGGATTATTGTTATTCCTCTTCCTCTCCTTCCCCTCTTTTCTTCCTTCGTCTTCTTCTTCCTGTTCTTCCTGTTCCTCCTCCTCCTGCTCCCTCTCCTCCATCTTGTTTTTAAAGATGATGGCTAGAAGTCGTTTTCATTGAATTTTCAAGACATTAAATTTAAGCAACTCTTCCCTCCATGTGGTTGGTCGTGGGTTTTGTCTGGGTCCTGACCACCTTGTAGACTCGTTGTTCAACAGAATGAAATGGTAGATGTAAATATTCTACCAAGCATCAGACCGCTTGGTAATTATTGACACATAATTGTGTTGTTTTGCGTTTAATCTGTGCGTTTCTTTTGTTGGCCGTTTGGGGTTTTCCATAATGATGGTAGCCGGAATCCACCTTTCTTCCCCCCCCCCCCCCCCAGGAAATGCTGTTGAAGAGAGCTGCTGACCTTGTGGAGGCCCTCTACGGCACACCCCACAATAACCAGGTGGGATACTTACGTCCTAACCCCTTGTGTGGAGTTTGACCCTCCACGCTGGGCACGATGCTCACGCCCACCTCTCCCTCCATAGGACATCATTTTGAAGCGAGCTGCAGACATCGCGGAGGCTCTGTACAGCGTCCCCAGGAACCCCAGTCAGATCCCAGCTCTCTCCAGCTCCCCAGCGCACGGTGGCATGATGGGCATCAATTCTTACGGCAGCCAGCTAGGGGTCAGCATCTCAGAGTCAACACAAGGAAATAATCAAGGTACGGCCTCAATTCTGAATCCAGTCAGAATGCACGTTTGTGGTCTTCATGTAAATGTTTGGTTCTGCTGGAGGAGAAGGAACCGGAGGTTAGGACTATCCAGCAGAGCAGCCCTTGAACACAGCCGTCCCCATGTTAGCCGCACCATCACAGATTGGCCCCCGTCAGCATTGCAGATGGTACATCGTTACATCTGAGCTTCTGGCACCAGAGAGAATCTCGTTAACTGCAAACATGTAAAGATGAGGTTGACTAGCATAAATTCAGAAGGGTTTGGGCCTGTGGAAACCAGGTTTGCAGATATTTATTAAATTTATATTTATACTATTTCAGTTATCCAATTGAATAAAATAAGGTCAACTGTTGCCATTCTCATTCATTCGATCTGTCTCTCCCCTTGTGAATGAATGACTTGATCTTATTTGGGTAACTTCCATTGTGTGTTATCTTATATACAGATCAGAAGCAATGTTACAGTCCACTATACTTCGACATGTGAGGTACATCGTGTTGACTTTTTTTTTTTTTTGTCAGTTGTGGGGCCTGAACTCTGGGCCTGGGCGCTGTCCCTCAGCTCTTCAGCTCAAGGCTAGTGCTCTACCACTTGAGCCACAGCACCACTTCCAGCTTTTTCTGCTTATGTGCTGCTGAGGAATCGAACCCAGGGCCTCATGCATGCAAGGCAAGCGCTCTACCACTGAGCCACCTTCCCAGCTCCCATCGTGTTGATTTTTATCAGAGGTCAATTTTATTGTTAAAGGGCAAATCTAACTCTACCTTTCATAAATCATTTTTGAAAGGAGTAAATTTTCCTACTGATGTCTTTCACCTTGGGATATTTTTATGTCTAATTTTGTTTATCTATGGGAGGAAGAATCCTCAATATTTTGCCCAAGGTGGGCTCTTCTCATAAGAGAGTAAGTGGGAGACATTATTACTTCATTGTTATTTTTGTTAAACATGGGACCTGTGGACCATATAGCAACATTTTTTTTTATTTGATGACAGTTTGGGGCTGTTGGCTAGGTAGGTTTAGAGACAATTATCTCATGGATTTGCTTCAGGAGAGACTGGGCTGGATTTCACAAACATGGAGGAGGACTTATCTTCCTCCCCAGCCTACGCACACACTGAGTGCCCACACTCAACTCATGGTGCCTTAGAGTCTTAGGTTAAAGAACAGAATACCTAGAGCAGCCCCTCATTACTTTTGTTTGTTTTTTTTGTTTTTTGTTCATCACGGGACTTGAACTCTGGGCTTGGGCGCTGTCCCTCAGCTCTTCAGCTCAAGGCTAGTGCTCTACACTTGAGCCATAGCGCCACTTCCGGTTTTCTGAGTGGTTTATTGGAGATAAGAGTCTCACGGACTTTCCTACCCAGGCTGGCTTTGAACCGTGATCCTCAGATTTCAGCCTCCTGAGTAGCTAGGATGACAGGCGTGAGCCACCAGCCCCCCCACCCCCTCCCGCTCTCATTACTTTTTGAGTGAACTTGATCCCAGTCTCTGCCATCCAACACTGAAGGCCTGGTAACCTCTGCAGACTCACGCTACCGAACGTGCATCTTGCAGAATGCACCTGACAACAGAAATGTTAGCAGGGTGCCTTCCTCCCACCCTCCCCCAAAAGATGCTCTCTATGGTGTGCTCAATTTGGGAAATGCAAGTTTAGCAAAGTTAAAGTCACTTCCTTATTCTCTAGGCTTTTCATCGAGGAATCTTCAAGAGCTAGCTACCGCGCATCACATCTGCCCAGCTTTACTTAATGTACACATGTTTCCCGTGCCAGCGATTCGTATCTCATAGGAGTCCCATCCCTTAGCGTGCGCTGGAGATGCTGAGTGTGGGATTGGAACAGGGAGGAACACCACGGGTGCGCTGTGGGTGGGAGGGAGAGGGGGCAGGGAAAGAGGGATGGGTAAAAGGCTGGGGACCTAGTTATCTGCCACAAAGGTATAGTTAGGTAAGAGGAGCACATTCAAAGTGTTGAAGACCGTGCTTGGGCGATTATGGTCAACAATAATCGTATAATTCCAGGTAGTTACATGAAAAGATTTGGAATGCTCCTAACACAAAGAACCCATCCGTGTTTAATGTGACAGCCAGTGAGCCTGACGTGATCGCTGTCGGGTGTATACATGTATGGACAGTGCTGTGACGTGGTGGTCTGGGCCGGTGTGGACCAGGGCTAGCCACGCACGGCCCACCGTGGGGACCCGCTGACCTAGCTGAGCTTTTCTTTTGTTGTCAAGGTTACATTCGAAACACAAGCAGCATCTCCCCGCGGGGTTACTCCTCCAGCTCCACACCTCAGCAGTCTAATTACAGTACCTCCAGCAACAGTATGAACGGCTACAGCAACGTCCCCATGGCCAACCTGGGTGTGCCGGGATCCCCGGGATTCCTGAACGGCTCCCCCACCGGCTCCCCTTACGGAAGTAAGTGTGCTCCCGGTCCTTGCGGCTCCAGGTCACTCTCTGTCTCTGCGACTCACCGGTCAGCCTTTTGGGGGAGAGCTGCGTTCCTAAATCTTACTTGCATGTGAGGGATGGTCCGGGTTGGGGTGGAAATATCCTTGCTGTATTTTCTTCTTTCCTCTTAGTTGCCTTTGGACTCAAGGTCTTCTGGGAAAAGAAATGGTTCTCTTGGTATAGGAGAGTACATGGGGCTTGGGTGTGTGTCAGAGAGGAAGATTCCATTTCAGTCAAAAACATGTATATTCTTCATCAGACACTTGACAGTGCAATATTTCATTTTGTGTCCATGAGAAGTGTCTAGAGTTAATGTTATTACCATGTTATAGACAAAGATTTTTGGTTTTAGTGGTACTGGGATTTGAACCTAAGGCCTTTTACGTGCTATTCAGGAATTCCACCACTTGAGCCCTGACCTAGACAAAGAATTTTGATGCACATCTTACCCATTACCACACAGCCTGAATACAGCAGGGCAAGGATTTGGGCACTGAATTGATGGCTTTGGGTTGTTATTTGTTACATCATGTTCTTTGTGTACTTGAAAGCCTGTGACAACTGTGACATAATGAGACAGCGCTGCTCAATCTTTTTTGATTTATATATATGTATACACACATATGTAATGCATATAATTTCTATATAATGTATATATATTCTTTTCTTCTTCTTTTTTTTTTTTTGTTGATCATGGGGCTTTCACTCAGGGCCTGGGCGCTGTCCCTGAGCTCTTTTGCTCAAGGCTAATGCTTTACCCATTTTGAGCCACAGTACCACTTCTGGTTTTTGAGTAGTTAATTTGAGATAAGAGTCTCACGGGGAATCTTCTGCATGGGCTGGCTTTGAACTGCAATCCTCAGACCTCAGCCTCCCGAGTAGGATTACAGGCATGAGCCGCCAGCGCCCAGCTCTATGTTATATTTTTAAACTATCTTTCAGTAGCTGTTATAAAGGGGTTTCGATTCAACACATCTGTTTATAAGGACAATGCATCTTGATCAATGTCACCCCTTCCTTAATCCTAATCTGTGGCTCCAGGATGTTGCGAAAACCCATTTGGGTAAAGAACCCAGATGGCCAGGCTGGGGACTCACACAGTGGTCCCGGGAGACTGAGCCAGTGTGTATGTTTTTCCAGCCCTACTTAGGGAATTCTTGAGGCAAGGAACATGAGCGCCTGAGGAGAGTGTTCTTGAAATTCTGGGTGTTGTCGCAAGGCCCTGCAGCTTGCCCTCTCTTTACCCAGAGTGTGTCCCTCGTGCCAGCAACAAGGACACATGAAGGAGAGCACACAGATGCGCCTGCCAGGCTCATGCGGGGCGGCCGTGGTGGCTGCCTCTCGCTGCCTTTGGACACTTGGTTCCCAGGGGATACGACCTCTTGAGTTATTTTTGGGTTATCTGTTCAAGACACACAGTCCACTCTCCACGGTGTGTGGGGACACAGCGACAAGTAGCAGAAAATAGCAGGGCTCATTTCTCTCAGCACAACGCAAGTTTTGTTATTGCAGACCTCTCCAGTAGTCCCGATTCATGAGTTCTGAGTGGTCGACAGGAATAAATTATTGTCAGTTGATTGATTTATTTAAAAAATCCGATCCCATCCCAACAATGTTTTCACATATCATAAAAATCAAATAGATAATAGGCATGTATAAACCCAGAGTTAATAGGAAACTGAGATACAAAGGAAAATGGTTAAGAAAACTAGATCAAGTCCAAGGGTCAAGCATGCATGCATTCAGTCTATTTAATATTGTCTCAAGTTTACAGAATGTTAGAGGAGAACGTTGTGCTAAGATTTTATGTCCTAGCCAGGCACCAGTAGCTCATGCCTATAAAAATAATCCTAGCTACTCAGGGGGCTGAGATCTGAGGGGCCTGGTTTGAAGCCAGCCTGGGCAGTAAGGTCTGTGAGATTCTCATCTCCAATAAACTACTGAAAAGGCTGGAGGTAGAGCTGTGGCTCCAGTGGTATAGCGCTACCCATGGGTAAAAGAAGCTCAGAGACAGCGCCTGGGCCCCGAGTTCAAGCCTGGGGACCAGCAGGAAAAGAAAAAAAAAAGAGATTTTATGTCTAAATATTACTTGTGCGGGGGTCTTAGGGTAAATATGGGTACTCCTGCTAAGGAGACCGGGAGGAGGTTTGCCTCAGGCCTTCCCTGCATATGGCAGAGACCACGTGTGTAACAATCCCACAAGCCATGTGGTGTCAGGAGAGCCACTGGATGAATCTTGTCACAGAATGATGATGTCATCAGTGAGAGAGCACATTCACAGCCTGAGTCAGTCAGGTCCTCGCAAGCTCCCCGAGGCCTTGCAAATCATCAGTGTCATCACCACACTCCCTTGGAGGAGGTGAGGGATGACGTACTCAAAGATTCCTAGCCAATGAACAGTAAACGTGGGACCAGAACCTCTGTCCCCAGCCTCTAGATAACCTGTGATGAAATTACTCCAGGATGTAAAAATATTAGCGTATTTGTAATATATTCTTAGCCTGAATCATATAAAATTCCTCCCTCTCTGACCACTTCCAGGCTATGGAAAAGGTAGCTTTATGCAGTTTGGTCATACATTCAGGTATGTGTTAGGTTAGTTTCCAACTGCGATCTTCAGATCTCAGCCTCCTGAGTAGCTGGGATTATAGGCGTGAGCCACCAGCACCTGGGTAGGGTCAATTTTCATTCATAAAAATGCCTGTGTGAGTGTTAATTGCTTACTAGGTCTTACTAGGTAATCCATCCAGTAGAGAAGCATGCTTCTCACCCTAGCAAGTAACTTTCTGATCACTCATACCAACCGCCACAAGAAAGTATCACCTAAATCTGTAAGTCACCTGTGAAAACAGGATGGTATACACAGAAGAGAAAGGGATACTGGGAAGAAGGCCCTTTGCCCACTAGGAAGTAGGAACGAGCAGAGGAGCTGGTAGTGAGCGCTTCGTTTTGGAGAGGTGGTCAGAAGGAGTTGCAGTGTGGGCAGGAGATTTCAAACAATCCATCCATCGCCATCAACTTCCCCAGCGGAGCTCATGGAAGTACCACCTGCTCTGTATTTCTAACCAAGTCTTTACTTCTCTGGCAAAGGGAAAAAAAAAAGGAAAGGAAAGAAATTTAAAAAAAAAAAACAAACCCAGAGAGGAACAACTTACGGATTCAGTTGCCTGTGTCTAAAACACAGATCTACGATTTCACTCTTGCAACCTGTTGTAGCTGAGCCATACCACGGGCCCTCCCTTGCCAGGAATGTTTAACAAAGAAACAGAGGCACAGCTCCTGGTCACATTGGCCTTTCATTACAGCCACAGCTGAGGACCAGACACCTGTGTCTTTCTGTGTGTGCTCTCACGCTGCTTCAGAACATGGTCAAACAGATGTTTGGGCGTTTTTTCCCCCCTCAAATCTACATACAAACGTCACTTCCTGGCTGTAGCACCATGTGCCAGGTTCCAGCTCTGTGAGTTGCTGTGGCTGGATCCTAAGCCCCTGACAATCGGGACCTCTTAGTGTGAGCCTGGCTTGCATGCTGGCGGGTTCCTGCTGGGGGCGGCCAGTCAATCTTTGTTAGAAGAAAAGGGCTTTTTCCTTAACTCCCCCCATCCGCGTAGCTTTCTGGGCCAGGCGTGTTTGCCTTTACCTTGGCCTCTATCCACTGGAGAAATTCTCAGTTGCAAATGCATGTGATTGGCCTTCCTCAAACAATACCCTCTGCCCTCCCTAAACCTGGCTTACCCAACACCCAAGGGACCTCTTCTTCCCAGGAGACCCAGCCACCAAATGGACCCCAAGTTTGGGACAGAATCCAGCCAGGCAGGAATCCAACCTGTCCTCGGAGATTTCTGCTTTCTTTACAGACTTAAACGGGGACCTGGGCTTCAGTATCTTTACCTTTTTAGAAATTAATATCAAGAGTTTTCTCTTGTATGATATTAAGCATTGTTATCATTTAATAGAACATCATGGAAAGAGTTTTATTTTTTTGTGTGGAAAATAGTTTTGGTTTTTTAAAAGAAAGCCTGCTGTCACCCTAAGAGGAATAAATTTAATTTATTGATACAGAAATTATACTTGTTTCTTTTCTCTTTTTTGTGCCAATCGTAGGGCTTGAACTCAGGGCACTGTCCCTGAGCTTCTTTGTGCTCAAGGCTAGCACTTTACCATTTGAACCACAGCTCTACTTCTAAGAATGGACCACAGACACCAGGGCTGGCCCTTGCTTTTAGGACGTTAATTTCCCCAGGAATCTGAGGATTTATTATCTCTGTTCTTCAGTTTGTTTGTCTGTCTGTTTTGTGCTAAAGAAGTTAACACACAATTTTGTTGACAGGCCATAAAACCTTAAAGAAGAAAATAAAAATGATTCAGGAAACTATTACTCTTTTTGCTAACGATAACTATTTTGAACAATGAAATAGAGATTTTCTATTTTCAAATATTAGTTACTCATCCTGTTTTCTCCCACATCAGAAGTAATATATTTTCACTGTAGAAAAAATGAAAATAAGGATAATAATAAGAATGAATAAGAATATTTGTAATCTCATTCATCAGACAAGCCATTTTAAAGGCTGGCTGTATATTACATCCTTTTAGACTTTTGCCATATGAATTTTTTTTGTACCCATAAAACTGTGTTAATGTATATATAATCTGCTTTTCTATTCTGAAGAGATATCTTTTCACGTATGTTAAATATTCCCTAACATTAGTCTCAATGTAGTATTCTACTATACGGACTAAACATAGTTTACCCTACTGAGGGTCACTTATTTCTCAATTTTTCATGATCATAAAAATGCCCTTGGATCTATTTTTTGGTACATTTCTGATTATCTCCTTGAGATTAATTTCTTGAGATTAAATTAGTGGGTCAGAGGATATGGACATTTAAAAAGATTTTGCTGTGAATTGCCAAAATCCCTCCAGAGAAATTGATTCTTTCCTTAGAAAAGAGGGAATATATGTTGCTCTGCCCTGTTAATTTTTTCTTTAATCTTTATCAGTTTAGTAAGAGAAAAATAACATCTTGTTAGTACTTTAATTATCATTCTATTACTAACCAGTTTGTGGGTTTCTGTACATGTCGTCTGGTCATTTTTTTTCTTCTTTAGTGACTTTACTTTTTATGTTCTTTGCTCATTTTCCAAATGGAATGTTTTTCTAATTTACTTATAAGAACATATTAGCTAGCAAGGACATGAACAGATTTAAGTAAGTGCTGAAAATATTTTTTTCTTACTTTGGCTTTGGCCTTTTGTGTATAGATGTGGTTTTTTTTATTATGTGGTGAATATTATCTTGCAAAATTTTATTTAAGCTTTAGGGTAAACGAATCATGAGTATTACATATTCTTACTGTTTTCTTCCAGCACCTTTATAATTTTGTTTTTTCCATGTACTTCTTTGATCTACTTAGATTACTTTGGTGATGAACATGAAGTTCTCTAAATTTAGTCTCCCAAATTTTAGTGTAGTGTTGCTATGTATTTCATAATACATAATTTCACAATAGGACATGTTACCTTTATTATGTATCAATTCATATATATATATATACATTATATATATATATATTACATATACCAGGCCCATTTCTGGACCCTCAAATTTCCTTATTTCTTTATTAATGTAACACTGATTGTAAATAATAGCACTGATTTAACTGACACAGATGTAATATTTAATATCAGTGTTTTCCTTACTAGTTGAAACAAATGTTTTGGCAAAACCTCTGACAAAGTCATTATTGAAGCACAAGAAACACAGTATTTTTTTCTGAAATACATATCAAAAATCCCCTTTAGGACTTTTGTTACAGTTGTATTAACTTTTAAATAACTTTTTAAATACTGCATTTTTATAAAACAATTACCATGGCCGGTACTTATTCAACTCTGCAGCAGTAGTTTATTTTTTTAATGAGTTTATGTTACTAGTAATGTGCTGTGCAGAGGGACTCCCATTTGCTAAGTGGGGGTGCAGCAGTTCTTTGACATCACCTACCAGAGCTTGGTGTGGTGTGCCGTCTGGTCTTTTACCAGAACACCCTGTGTCTGAGCCACACTTTAGTCTGGGATTAGTGATTAGGAAAGAGACTGTCTGTAGAAAGGAGACACGTGCTGGGTATAAACGAAAGGGAGTGTATGAGTCAATGCAAGGCTGCATCATAAGAACCATCTTTGTCACTGTGTTTGAGTAGAACTTCTACCATTGAGGACCCAAAAACCCAATCTGCTATCTTGGTGTCACACAACAACACAACAAAATACAACAGAGACTGAAAACCTTCATCAGCCTTGGGGCCTCCTGAGTCTCAGCCTCTAAATCTGTACCTTAAAGAAAGGAGGAGTATTTTATGTTGTTTTTCTAGTTTATTGATGCTAGAGACAAAACTACAAAAGAAGATTTTGCTGAAACAATGAGTAAGACCCACTTTCGGTGCTTAATGTACATCCTATCTTACCAGAGTGCACTGGCCCAAGTTCTATGCATCTACCACTTCAATTATTACATGAGATTCTTGATTTTGTCTTTCTTTGCAACTTATTTTCTTTGTTTATCTGATTTGAGGAAATAAATTTATTCACATGTTTTCTTTTGTATGGCTCTTTAGGTCAGGACGAGCTAAGGATAAGTATTTTTAGAGACAGTTCTTTTTGTGATACTATTGGCTGATAGTTCTTCTGTAAAAGTCGCCATGCTGGAGATGTCTTTTATGATTACTTTATATATGGGTGAACATAGCTCAAGATATAATTTTACATAGCGAGATGAAGGAAAGAGGAGACATAAAGCACATGAGCTTCAATTCATCTTGGACTTCCTCCTTTGTAACCTTTGTCAAAACTCATTTTACCCCACCCCCACCCCATGCCTGTTACACAGGGCAGATAGAGTTATCTCCTTGTATGATGTAACTTGGACGAATATGTGGGTTTAAGAGGAAGGCACTTCATTGTGTAAATTGCCTTTATTTTTCTTGGAAATTACCACACTTAGATTTTGGCTTCCCCTAAGACATTTTAATGTTAATATTGTTAATATTGGTGTGGATTTTTTCCCCTTTAAATATTATATCAGGGGAGGCGGGCTTGTAGCTTTATTTCCCAGGAGCACCGGATGTCCGGGGAGAGGGAAGTGATCTTCTAAATGTTAATAAACTCTTACATTTAATGAGAAAGCGGCCCACCGAGATAGCATTCTCAAAGAAGAAAGTAACCCTGTAAATCAAACCTCTGGAGGCCTGGGAGTTGGCAGGGAGGCACATGGCCCCCAGAAAGGACTTCTCCTAGGGTAAGAGAGTTTTCTCATGCTGGGTGAATCTGAGAACCTTCTAAGGATGTCAGTCTCGAGTAATCTGTTCACGAACCAGTCCTATCTTAGCATCTCCTGCCATTGACTTCCTGAAGGAACTCTGTCCATGCATCTGCGCATGTTGCCTGAACTTCCTTGACCATCACAGACAGGGTGTGTGCCCACCCCCTGGACAGGGAACATGTCACACTTCATTTCTATTGTGATCTTGGAATCTGGACCTGTGCCTATACGTGAAGCGTTTCTCCACGCGTTTCTGGAGGATCCCTCTTTCTGAGACGATTGTGCTTTGCTTTGCAGTCATGTCCTCCAGCCCCACCGTTGGCTCGTCCAGCACGTCCTCCATCCTCCCGTTTTCCTCTTCAGTTTTTCCTGCTGTGAAACAGAAGAGTGCCTTCGCCCCTGTCATCAGGCCCCAAGGCTCCCCGTCCCCAGCCTGCTCCAGTGGAAATGGAAATGGATTCAGAGGTAAGCCAAGGGGCCACCTGGGGAATAGGTGAGACCCAGGTGACCAGGTGTGGTCACAGCGCTGCTCCAAGTAGTCTGGACCGTCACTCAACTAGAGAGAGAGAGAGCCGTCGGGGTTGTGCAGCCATCACAAAGCAAGGGTGAGGGTGGACAGGGACAGGTCAGGGAGCTGCAAGTCATGGAATTCCAGTGGGACCGCTGTACCTGTGGTCCCGGAGTGTCTGGAGTCTGTGTGCTCGGTGGAAAGGTGTCTGACCTCCCATCCGATGCCACATAGCCAAATCATCTTCTTCCCTAAGCGGCTCACCACCTGCGCTGCATTCCCATACCACACGTGGAGTCAGGAGCAAGTTCTGAGAATTCTGGTTTAACATGCTAGCCAAATTGATAGCAGGTGCCTGATCGGGGGTGGGGTAGGGAAGGAAGAGAGAGAGAGAGAGAGAAGTCGTACTGTTTCTAGGAACAAAAATTAATATCACCCGTCAAAGGCACTTTCAAGCAACGTCGGAAACTGTAATGTGACATGACATAACTCGAATGTGATGAGTACATGAGACTCGAATCACCCTATGGAGGACGGGAGGCAGCTCACGGCCAAAGAGCAAATTGGAGCCTGCTGAGCGCGATGGCTCCCTGGCATCCCACAGTGCTTTGCAGCTGACTCGCGCATCTTCACGTGAACACAGGACAAGCAGGGTTGGATAAAACCGTAGCGAGGCTGGGTTAACCCCTCCTGGAGCAGGACAGCTGGGGATCCCCAAACCGTAGTGGGAAACCATGGCGGGAGCTGTGCACCCCTGTGGTTTCAATAAGTGTGTGAGTTCCTGATTTTTCGGGGACGCGCGCGAGGGGTCCTTGTCCACTTGTGTGTGAATCACGCCCTGAGGGCTGTGTGAGATTCCCCTACGGCATCCTCTCCACGCTGCAAGAGCTGATGGAGATATGGATAAAGCCCATCAGGCGGAGGTGGCCCCCGCATTCTGACAATTCTGAGTAAACTCAGCCACAGGGGCTCCGTGCCACTCAACATGTGGATAGTTGGAAACATCTGTATCCTTCACAGAGCTTTTCTTCTCCATATCCAGATGTCCATGCCGTAGAGAAACAGTGCAGCCTGTAGCTAAGCGTCATTCCCCCCTCCCGGCTCCCCCTCCCCGCCCCCGCCCTGCACTGGGGGAGGGGGAGGCCCATCTCTCATCAAGTACTAGTGGCTTCCATCCCACTGGTAATCTACTTCCTCCCCGAAAGCAAGCTGTGGCTGAGTACTCGCTGTGTCTCCCTTCCCCACACTGGTTCCCTAGCAATGCCCCTCTTTCTACCTCCTCTGGCTCTGTTCACAGACTTTGAGCCTAGTGGGGAAACACAGGGTGAGAGACGAGGGTGAGCTTGGTTTTTCTCCACGTGGGCTCCGGGAGGGGACAGGAATACTGCCCTTGCCTGGTGACACTCGGTTTTACTGGAAAGAGAAGCAATAGCCCTTCAGCCTTCCCTACCTCCTCTCTCACACAGGCACCGAATTCGGCGGTTCAGAGCTGCCCATTCCAGATCTGAATCTGATCTGGTCTGATCGCCCCAGGGAGACTCGCTGTGGGGCCTGCCTGGATTTGGGGCTACAGGGAGGCTGGGGCAGAGTTTTTCCTGGATCCGTGGCCTGCCACCTAACCCTGTCTTCTGTGGTCCAAGGCCCCTGGATCATGGGGTGGGAAGGGAGACCCTCTCTGGGGTCCTCAGCTGAGCACATGGCCTGTCACCAGCAGCAAGGATGCTTGTCCTGGGGCAGTGGCTGAGCCTCAATCCTTGATCGTGTCTGTCAAGGTGATGACTTAGCTGTATACAGGCACAAGCTCCAGGCTCTTGATTCTCTAGAATCACAGGAAATCTCCAACTACTTTTGAATCCCATAATTCCCTTCAAGATTCCTTGTTGATGTGACCATTCAAAAAATAAATGCAAGGGAACCCTACAAGAGGAAGCAGACAGCCTTGTCAGCTTAGAGCAATTGCAGAGAGCGATGGAAATAGAAAGGGATGCATGGAGACATGATGCGGGAGTCTAAGGAGAGTCCTAAAGAATACGACAGGCAGGATGATTCACTTTGCAGATGTCTGTTGGAACTCGAGTTCAGCTCTTGGCAGGCCACACGAGACTCTGCGAGCCTCGGTTTCCTTGTCTACCCCACAGGACGATCCGTAGCTATCCTCGAGGTCACTGTGGAAGGAACAGTGTGAGTGAAGATGGGTAGAGGATATTGCCTCAAGACCAGCAAGGACAAACCACTTGCTGCTTGTCTCCATTTGGGACCATGTCAGCAGGGGCTCACTGTCCAGCTCCCTAAGGGACCAGGAGATACAGAGCAGGAGAAGAGCGAGCTGGCCTTTAATGCATGAGCACCTCCTGGGAGGGCAGGGCCTGGATATGTCCAGGGCACCGGCTTCCCAGGCAGGGGGAGACCGAGAAACGTGGGCCCGAGGGTCCGGTGGATCCCCAGGTGAGGAAGGGTGCTTTCGTAGATGAGCTCTTAATTATCAGCAGAGGCATGTGCAACCAGCACTCGCTAAGATATGCTGTGAGCAACGTACTGGACTGAGCGCCCTGCAACAAAGTCCCTCCATTGAGCCATGCTGCCATCCCCACTTTTAGTATTAAGTACCATGTCCAAGGCCATATAGCAAGTGTCTGATGATTTGGACCCAGACATTTGGATCTCTGAGCCTATCTCTGATAGTCCCTCTTCTTACCAGAGACTGTGCTAACGGAAGTCCTTTTGTTACCTTTCACCCTTCACTACTATCTGCTTGCCACCTGGGCCAAAGGAAGGTTATTGCTTTCCTAGGAAATGCCCATGGTGCAAAGGGATTGTGCGATTCAAGTGTAGTTACGAGTCTCTCCGCTGCTACCCGTGAAACGATTAACTTCCTCTCCGGTGTCTGTCTGCTTCCCGTCTGCGGGCTTTGTTTCCTACAAGTGGAAAAGTCGAGGTTACCCTGTGAGTAGAGGTGCAGCCCACCCAGTGCTGAAGGAGGAGGGATTGGGAAGAGCTGTAGGGGGAGTCCATTGTCTTCTGGCATGGGATGGGTCTGAACACTTGAGCTTCTCTGTCCTCTGAGTGCTCCTTGGGCAAGCCTGACCTCCAGAAACCAGACATGGGTGGAGAAGTGTTGAGTATAACAGACAGGGTGAAGTTCAGCATGTGAGTCAGAGTATCTCCCCCCAACCCCAAGCCCTGCTAGAGAGGCCTGTCTGCAGTGTTTTCTTGTCCCACCTCGACCTCATTTATCAGGCATTTAAAGTTGATGAGTATAGATTGTCAAGATAATATTATACACCGTGTGTCTGATTCATTTTCTAGCTCCCTCTAGGAAAGAGAAGAAAAAAAAAAACCTCTTGCACTCTGGGATAATTACTAGAGTTGCTATATCTTCAAATCATCAGGGAGTGTCCAGAATTGAACTGCTTTTATTGAAAAGTTACATCGATTCAATATATAGTAATACAGGCAAAAATAATTAAGGCTTTGCTAGCTGTGTAAGACCTTAATCCAGATCTCGCAAACATTCAATAAAGGCTGTATGGGCAGGGAAATAGATGGTTGACGATTTTGCCCGAGAGGACTAGAGAAAGGGAGCAGTGGGGGGAAAGGAGGGGGAGGGAGGCAAAAAAGAAAAGAAGGAGGGGAAAAGAGAGAGGAAAAGATGAGTAAATTGGGGAAAATAAACAGAATTTTGGCCCCTTGCTTGTAAGTGCCCTTCATCAACAGGCTAGAATGACATTTGTCATTGCCTTGGTGCGGTGCAGACAAGAGAAATCAGAGAATCAGACCCAGACGTGGCTAGAAGTTTTGGATTCAGAGCAAGTCTTTTTTTTTTTTTTTTGCCATTGTTCAAAATGTGAAAATCCTCTGGGTTCCTCCCTGACAGGGGAAAGGAAAACATTTTGTCGTGTGATTTCCATATCTGCTCGGGCTGCTCTGCTGTCCACATCTTCTTGTCCAGATGGGAGGTAGCACTGGAGTGGGAGGAGGAGATGACTGACTCCCAGATTAACAATGAAATTAAGTTTTCTCTTCCCAGTGGACTGGCCCTTGTAGATGATAGCGTCACCTAGTAGTAATTCTAGCTACTCAGATCTGAGCATTGTAGTTTGAAGCCAGCCTGGGCAGAAAAGTCCATGAGACTCTTATCGCCAATTTACCAGTCAAAAACCAGAAGTGCTGCTGTGGCTCAAGTGGTAGAGCACTAGCCTTGAGCACAAAGAGGTTCAGGGACAGTGCCGAGGCCCTGAATTCAGCCCAACAACCAACCAACCAACCAACAAACAAAAAAAGGCTCAAAAAGGATAGAAAGCCTGATCTATTATCAACGATATACCAGCCAATGGGCTCGACATCTGGAATTTCCTTTTCTGTTCCATATAAGGGACTGGAGATAGTATAATCTGGAAATTATTGTTAGTCCAATGATGAACAATTATAGGTGCATACGCTAGAATGTAGATGCTCTGTCTATATCTACCATGTGGTTGATATAACTCCTTACTAGAAAACAAAACAAAATCTCATTCTCAGCCTGCAGCCAGAACCTCCACAGCTGTGTGTCTGGGCCAGTGGCTTCTGTCTGTGAGCCCAAACCTGCCCCTCTCTCTGGACTGTCCCAGGCTCTCCCCTCCACACCCCCTGCCCTCCTCTCTGTGGTAGAAGTGCTGCCACACCAAGTCCCCCAGTCTCATTCCCGTGTCACTGTTTGCCTTGCAGCCATGACCGGACTCGTCGTGCCCCCGATGTGAAGCAGAGCGAGTCCTGCTTTCTCATAGCACAAAACTACTTATTCTGATGGACCAATAATGAGGAAAGCACTCTGAGCTCTTTGGGGGAGAGTTGCGTCCCCCCCCCCCAAGTGGACGTGATGGACAGATCTGGGAAGGCAAAATCCGTCATCTTTCTTGGTCTCACATTTCTCCTGTAGCTTTGCCAATAGCTACACAAACTGACCCCTTTGGGGACCAGGACAAAAGATGTCATTGACATGGTCAGTGCTGAGAGCAGAAATGCAATGCTTTGTTATGAACATTATGGGGGGGAAAGAAAACCACCTTCCTGTGTTTGTAAAATATTTAAGAAAAAAATTGGCAAACAATTCATGCTTAATATTTTGGATACTATTTGTTTTTCTTTGTAGGAAAAAAGTTGAAAGTTTCTATTTTCTATGAAGCCTTTCAGATACCAATTTAGTTTATGCAGAAAAAAAAAACCATTGAACAAAACAGGGTACCAGCATGGAAGACTTTCTTAAAAAAAAAAAAAAAAAAAAGAAACCTGAATTGAATGATGAAATGTTGTATGTGTGTTTCCTTATAGTTTAATCTCTTAAAAAAACAAAAAAGGGAAAATTTTAAAATGTTTTACAGTTATTTAAATAAATAAACGTGTAACTTATTGTAAGTAGCAGTAGAAATTAAGGCCTTTTTTTTCTTTAAAGAAGAGAGCCATTTCTCTTTCTGATGTAAAAAGGAAACGAATCAAACCTGTAGTGACAAGTCTTAAAGGTGTGTGATTGTAACTACAGTTACTTATTGGACTCCACCCTCAGCTTCACCTCCCTCTTTTCTATCATTTTTATTGACCCATAAGCAAAACTGTGGAACGTACGTGGATTCCTACAGGACTGTCTCCCTCCAAAAACAGACTCAGAGAATACACATAGACAGACACTCCAACCTATCACTCCACACCCAGCTTCCTCTGCCTTCAAATTAGTCCGTAGACCCCTTTTCGTATTCACTCTTGGTGAGCAGTCTCTAAAAACTCAGCTCTTCCCTCAACAATGCAGACAAAGTCCCGCTTGTTCATTGATCTCGGGCTTTGAGCATCTGAGGAGAGAAATGTCCCACCTTTGAGAAGAGCCAAAAGCCACTGGACTTCGCTAACCACGGGCCCTCTTGCAATTCTTCCCTTCTCTCCACACAGAGGGGGGAAAAAACTTCAGAACTTCAAAAACCAGGCTGAGTACGATGAGATGATGCTATGTCTTCAACTCTTCAGATCAGTCTGAAAATGTGCAAGTCCTCTCCTCACTCTAACTCTTCCCCGTCTCTGTGGTTAAATTCTCTTTAAGGAAACAGTATGTATGTATTCCAAGTAACATGACTTCCAGACCAGAGTGGGACGGGTTGAGGAAGAGGATTGTTAGAACCCCAAGGCCTCCTGATGTTCAAAGACATGGAAATGGGGGTTCTAAGGAGACTCAGAGATTAGGGGTGGCTGTGTTCTGAGCAGTGCAGTTACCCAGCCCATAGTCCTGTGACTAGTTCTTAGAGGTGAGACGTTGCAGTAGCTGCTGACAGCGGTTGGTTGGTTCCTGACTTGCATCTGGACTTACTTGGGTCACCAGCCCGTCACCACGTTCCCCTGGGTCAGGGCTAGCAGTACTAGAGCTTAGACACAGACTTAGATCTGTGAGGATCTGGATTGGGGTTCTAGCATTAGAAGTTGATAAAAACAACTTGAGTGCATGCAAGCCATGTTTAGGTGGACCCTGTTGCTCCACCAGCTGCAAATCCCCAAACCTCAACAGTCTGATTTGCCTTTAGTTCACTCTGGGCTTAACAGTATGACCCATATTTTTTCTCTATGCACATGAGAATCTATGGTTTTAGAAACCTGGCACGCTTGTCACAACTGTTGACAGTCCTTCATTGTGAGGGCTGACAGCGCCAAAATACACAGAAATACATGAGAGAAAACGTTTCCCCAGCGAACAACCCGGTGGAAGGAAAGAATGTGTGGGGAGGGCGAACACCGCCATCCGAAATGATGGCAGAACAAAACTAAGCACGTTGAGATCTGGATTGGAGCCAATCCAACAGAAGGAAATGTTTATTTTTTTTCTTTAAAGTAGCATTGCTTTTAGAACCTGTGAATTTTTGCTCTTGCATGAAGATGAGTGCGGTACTATCTTCAGAAGGATTGTAGAATTTCTTGGTAGCTTTACACCGAAAAAAAAATGTGTGTAACTAAATATCAGACGCCCTTGACAGTACAGCTAGAACCTTGGCAGCAACAGATCTATTTAATTGTACAAAATGTGTGTAAGGATTACTTTTAGTGTACTAATAAATTAAAAACAAAGTGACTCTGTTCTCTCTAGTCATTGCTTATGAATTCTTCGGTCCCAGGTTTATAAATGGTGCCACTTGGAATACGAATACTTCTACTAGGTGACTACAAAATTTGATCTTATCTTTGTAAGAGGAGCTGTGTAAGAGTTTTCATTTAAAAGGATAATTTACTCCATTATTTCTCTCTCTCTTTCTCTCTCTCTTTGGGTTATAGCATCGAAATTCTTCCCAGTTTTTCTTTGCACATTTCAAGTCAATATGCATGGTTTAAAAACCATTATCTTTCTCTACCTTTTGTATAGTAAAGTCTCATTTTGAAACTGTATAGTTTCATTTTTGTTTTGCTTTGTCAGTTAAATCCAGTATAAAGTTGCTATGCACAGAGCTTTTTGTAAAGACGGCTTTTTTTGTTTACTGTTTTTAATGGTCTTACTTATTATGAAAGAATATCTTGTTTGTAAAATGAATATGTCTACTTCAGTTTTAAACTTTAAATTATCCTAACAAAAAATAAAAATTTTTGTACTGTAAAAATGATCTTTGCTTTTTTTTTTTTATTAATTTAAGTAGAAGAAATGTAGTTTGGGAGTTGCTCTTGCTGATGTAGGTTTTCTCATAACTGCTGGTTTCTGAGTTTTCCTCTGGTTGAGAAAAACATACAGCTTTTACTTATAAGGGGCATATGCCAAGATACTTATCTAGAGGAGATGGTAGGTCAATCTTCTGTGCATATTTTCTATCTATATCTCCAGCTGTTCAAATTCCTTCGTATTCCTCCCCTGAATTAAATAAAAAGGACTCTATTTACTTAGTTGATTTTGGATTCATGGTTTTTTCCCCCTCTTCTTTGATACTAGAGAGTGAACTCAGGACCTCACATAGGCAAGCTTCTACCACCTGAGCCATGCTCCCAATCATTGCTCCTTTGGGATTATTTTTCAGGTGGGGTCTTGTGCCTTTGCCTGGGTGAGCTTCTGACTGTGATTCTCCTACTTCTGCCTCTCAAATAGATATGCATTACCACCCCTAGTTTGTTGGTTGAGCTAGGGTCTCACTTTTTCCCACGTTGGCACTACAGTTGTACCCCAGTCTACCTGGTCTGGATGCATGGAATTCACAAGGTCGCTGGGGAGTCAGCTGGTTATGTATGTTACCAGGGGAGCTGAACCCGAGGCATCCCTTGTGCTCGGTAGGCTTTCCATGGAAGTTTCTTCACCTTGAGCCATGCCTCCAGCCCCTAACTGACATTGTCAACCAGACTGCTGAGAATCCAGTATAAGTGGATTATCTCGCTTCTCTCTGCAAGAGTACAGGTGATCTTCAAACCACCGAACTTGTTTCCTTAAGTGAGTGGCTGAGGTGTGTTTCTAAATGGTAAACTGGGGAAGCCGTGGACGTTTGCTTCTCTGAAGCTCTTCTGGCCCTTCCTCTGCCAGAAGACCCTAGCCGCTCTCTGAAGATGCGAGTGCTCCCATCCACCCTCGGGAACTGAGCTCTGCTCCTGTTCTTGTCATCATTTGCATTCGTTTCTCTGTTGGTTATCTGGCTCCTCTTCTGATGCAAGGTTCCTAAGTGCGGGGACTTGAATGGGTTCAGCACTGAATGTGGAGGCCTGCGTCCAGTGCTGTGGCCTCACAGAGCTTGTGGAAGGGAGAAGGATCTGGCTCCATTTTTACCCTCAGATGGAGCTTAGCTCTGCCCTGTCTGGTGGAGGTGGGGGAGAAGAAACTGACGGATCACGAGTGACAGGAAATGGTGTTGCTTTGAGAATTACTTCTTAGGGATAGTCTTGGCCATCAGCCAGTCGGACAACATCATGAAGTGTGTCTCTAATATCATGTGTCTGGCTCTTGATTACATAGTGTGGACAAAGTGGGTGGGGCTGAGGAAGAAGTGGCCTCTGGCTGGCAGTCTGTCGGGCAGGTTGCTTGGCCCCATTGACCTTGGAGTTCAGGGCATCTGAATGCTCTTGCTCAGATGTAATTCCAGCGCCAGAATCGGAGCCTTTTAAGGAGTGCGTATTCTGTGCCTATTCCAGGGAACACATTTATCTTGTTAACCACACACTTGAATCTCAGTGAGTTTGTAGTGCGTGCTCCAGGCTGCAAGAGGTTCAGAGTGGCAATGGGGCATGAGCACGAGAGAGATAATATGTGGAAACTTCAAGGTTAGGTACAGGCTGAGGGGGAGGTTTAGTGATAGAGCACAATGGTCCAGAGGACCCCGGTTCAATCCCTAGCACTGGAAAAAGAAAAAAAAAAGAATTAGGTGGAGATATAGTCTCAAACAAAGTTGTCCATTATTTCAAGGGGTTTCTACCTTCTCCATAGGAATCGACTGCAGCTAACAGGAAGCTATAAAAGCCTCAGTGTACGGGGCCCTTGTTCACAAATGACTTCTATTCGGATTGGTCAGTACCTGTGTTGCTCATTGTTAAATGCATTGAAATTGCAATCACCCCTGGGCTATTTCAGCCCTCCAGACAGAGATGTCTCGTTCCTGAAGTAAGGCTGGGCCTAGAGATGGCAAGTAGAGGAAAGATTCCAGAGACTCCTGTGCAGTTTGATGGATTTGTTGACTAGCGAGCTGTGGAAATGAGGAGAATGGGAACCGAGGATGCTGCTGAGATTGCTTCTTAGAGGACAGGTTTGGGTGATAACACTAGCCCACGTGGGGAGCACAAAGGGGACCATGTTGAGGGACAGAAAAAGGACGATCTTTTTTCCTTAGTGAAGGTTGGAAAGACCATTTCGGAGAAAGCCTTCTTTGGGACATGAGGCGGTAGCACGGGGGCGGCAGAGCTGGCTAGTGTCTCTCCCACCTGCTCCAAGGGATGGTTTGAAATTGAGGAACCATCCCTGCCATTGCTCCCTTCCATTCTTGATTGTTTTTTCCATCAGCTTATTCAAGAAGAACTAGGGAGACTTCTGTTCCTACAATTATATATACAAAATGATTGTTTCTATTCTAATAGATGGGTGACTAAAATTTCTGGGGTTTCAGAAATTAGAAACCTAGCCTTGAGAGTGAGGGAAACACAATAAATAATTATGCCTGGGACTAGTAATGATGCCCATGATTAACCCAGGGCCTAGCCACTTACAAGTGGCTTAGCTGTTTCCTGACTGCCTGAAGTAGGCTGGTGACCTCACCGGGATGTGTCCTTCGTGCCAGGGGTAGAAGTGTATAGATGTCCTTCCTTACCAATGTATAGACTCAAGCCTCCCTTTGTGTCTGAAGACTTCGACAGTAGCATGTGGCATAGATATGTGTGCTGTCCCCTTCATTGGCGTTCTTCCTGCCAGGAGTACGGTTCTGCACGGGCTCTCTCCTCTCCCTCGTTCATGGCAATAGCATTGGTAGTACAGGTCATTTGTCTCACTCTCCTTCCACTTTATGTCCCTTCTAATGTCGTTGCACCTGCCCAGATAGTTACAACATGTTACTTCATTCTTTTCAG